AGAGGGGGAGGAGGAGGGAGGAGGTCTGCGCTTCCATACGCTAAGAAGAATCAAGTATAATGGCTGCAAGTCTTTAACAGGCTTTTGTTCGGATGGGCAGGTGTATAATTTTGAACACGAATTGTATGCAGTCACCCGCCTAACCCACATGAGAGCGGAGGGAAGGTTACATTTGAGCCTAGCCTAATTCGGACTGTTATTAAAGGCTTGCTTCCCGCCACTGCTGCTGAACAGCGTGTCCAGAGTTTCAAAATGATCATCCCATTCTCCATGGAATTCACAGGATAGGATCCCTCGTCTGCTGAATCAACTGTAGTTCTCCACGCGACTGCGGACCCCTTTATTATATTATATTGTATTATTATAGCATGAACTAGTCAAGCAATGAATCGGACTAGGAAACACACTCGGACTGCAAAGTATGGACTTATGGGTTCAGTTGATATGAATATTTGAGCCGAAATCCACTATGCCCAGCGGGATAATCGTGTAATATTCATAAGCTACCAATGGGTAGCTAGTAGTATGGGCATGCTGCGGGATTCGCCTTACTGACAGCTAAATGCCGCAGCATGAAACATCTGTGGGGGGTTCGGCTCAACGGTTGGTCTCCTGGCGTTCCCCACGTACTGCCTGCCACTTTTAACATTTCTGCTTTCTATTCGCCTTTATTCCGACGGATTTACTCCAAGTAATCGCATTAACTCGAACTGCAGGCGAACTATCGGTCCCATCTGTTGGACTGAGCGTTCGGGGCAAATGTGTCTCCGAAGACCCTTCTATCGAGTATCCTTCGTACGGGTTTAACAGTGATACTTGGTACTTCTGTACCTTCGACTTAATCGTTGCAGGCAGGAAGACGGGTTGTTATCGCCAAACTACTTCGACATGCAGACACCTTCACACGTTAGAAAATTAAAAATTGTCGGTAGATCAACGGAAATAGAACTTTTCGTTATCATTTCATGCTTATGTTGGTATTATTGCAAAAAGAATCGATTTGAAGTTCTTTCCAAATTTATTTGCCTTTCTTCTGTACAGAGCAGAACTCCACTCCCTACGTCAACATGCACCCTGACCTCATAAAGCTACAGAAGCCAAATGCTTTGTGCGGATGCTAGTGGCGCGGCAAGTTTAACGGGTAAATCTTTTTCAAAATCCCAAAAATTGCCTCTTTCCAAAGCGCTCGGCTGAAACTGCCGACCGGCAAATATTCACCAATCAGATAAGTGAGCGCACTTTGCTTCCCTCCACACAGGCGATTTGTCCGCTGATTGGTCCACACGCAGCCATTTAACGCAGGGGACATTTTCTTTCGCCCATTGGTCCAGATAATCCACGCGTTCAGATTAGGGGCTCACGTGTCGCTACAGAACCCCGATCGTAAGACAGGATTACGCCATTTTGTAAACGGTGCTGCGCGTGGATGTTTCAAGTACCGAGTTCACTTGATCTGAGGGCATACTTGCCGGAACCCACGCGGCAGGTCACTGCCGACAGCCCCCTCCCGACGTCCTATATTGCCTCCTCTCCCACTTTTAGCTGCCCTTCAGCTCATGACCTACTCTGTGGTTGCACTGCCTCCTACGCCCCGGATAGACTCCTCTGGCCCACTACCTTTTCCGATGACAATTTCCGTCCGACAACGGAAACGAGAGACTGTTTGCCACATCAGACGTGGGACAAATATCGATCCGGTAACTGGAACCCGGCTGGACTTCTTGCGCCTTACACTCGTGATCCAGATCCGCCGGAGGCGCACCTCAATTCCTCCTCTTCCCCCGACGCCCATTCCAGTGTCACGTTTGATAGCACCGTCGCCTCTCCTCCTGAGGAGACCGCCCCCGGTACAACGCCAGCAATGACCACGATATCCTCCAACATGCTGCCTGTACTGGCATCCAGTCAGGCCAAACCTCCCTACTCCTACATCAGCCTTATAACAATGGCGATTCAGTGTTCCCGTAGCCGTATGTGCACCCTCTCAGAGATTTACGGTTTCATCACCAACTTATTTCCCTACTACAGACAGAATAAGCCACGCTGGCAAAACTCCATCCGTCATTCGCTCTCCTTCAACGACTGCTTTGTCAAGGTATCACGGGGACCCGACAAGCCGGGCAAGGGCTCCTTCTGGACCCTGCATCCAGATTCCGGTAACATGTTTGAAAACGGCTGCCATCTACGGCGACAGAAGCGTTTCCGAGACCCCCAACGAGAGGCATTTCGTCGAGAGAGACGTTGCAAACCGGGCGGGAGCGGTATTTCGCTGTCCGCTTCCTCCCTCACGTGCCGAAGAAATGAGAAAAAAGACACGGATGATCCCAGCGGTGCCGCCGTCGCCGCTGCCATATACGAGGAGTGGAGTGTGACCAGGCCTGAACTCAGCAAGGCAGTCCACAGTCGGGGCCTAGGAAGGCCAGAATTCTGTGAACCTCTGGAGGAGAGTTCAAGCGAACACTCTGAGCAGACGCTGCAGACTGACTACCTGGTGAGGAGCAGTACCTGCTGCGGAGTTGAGGGGAGCCCTGCAAATCCCGATGCAGTCCCCCCGTCCGCGCCCTCCTCGTCCACCTCCTCCTCCTCCTCCTTCCCCCCACCTCTGGTAGACTTCAAATGGCAAACCTCTGATCCAGGCAGTAGTAGTCACTGGGCCGCACCCGGGTTGCTTAACCCACCAGTTCAGACAGAAGAGACAAGTTGGAGGTTTCCACAACAGGACTCGGCTCCACAAATAGCGGATAGATGGAAGTACCTGCCCGCTGCGGACGGTTTCTTTGGTGGGGCCTTGGTGAATCCAGAGACGATCGGTTGGAGCGCCTGTTGTCCACAAACTCAGTACGAATGGCTGGAATTCCAACAACGACAACAGCAGCAGCAACAACAACAACGGCGACAACAACAACAACTTCAAACGCAGGATGGAGACCGATCGTCAGGTGATGCGCCCTTCATGACACTAGGATCACTAGTTGATAGTACAACTGACTTCGAACAGGTTCCTCCCGGCACAGCCTTTAAATAGCCCGTAAGTTCGCGGATTTTAAACCCTGACCACAAACTGTCCATAATTAACGTCATCAGTTTAGTACACCTGTTCAATAGCTACCCCTCTATTTATCATCCTCTTTACTGCATATGCGATTGACAGAGAGTTGTGGGTGGCTGATTCAAGTATCTTTTCATTTTTACGCTGACTTGAATTTCAGACTGGCGGGGAGGGGATAGTGTCAACAACATGTGATCCATACTGTTCGATATGTTTTTCGAACATCCTCTGCCCTGTGAGCCACAGTCACTTCTGGCTCAGTGTCATGAATAGTCGATAAGATTCCAAAAGCACAGTGAAAAGGAAGTTTCACAAAGAATGTGAAATGCAAGTGAACTCGTGCATTCAAATGGGTCTGACAATGGCAAGCCCTCCAGCACGACACCAGCTGGGCGAACCTAGTACACGTTTCATCAAGTCTGATGAACTGAAAGCCATTCTGTTGTACGCCAAGTTGTCTCCCAAAGTAAACACGTTCGATCGATGGGCAAGAATCGGGTGAAGGACCCCAAGCATCTGTGGCATACAAAGAATACCTACCCAACTTATTTAGAGGGTTTTCGTCCGACACGATTATATCGGCTTGGCGTTTCATCGTACAACGTTGTGTCATCTGTTCTAGACGGTGTGGTGCATTAGCTAAAATCACCTCAGATCTGAGAGTTGACAAACGATCGTTGTGGACATTTAATGCCTATTTTTTAATTGTCCTGCTTAATTTTGGTTGCCATATGTCAATGCACGAAGACTTCCTCCCGAAAAACGAATTTAGTGATTATCTATATTTATTTTGTCATTCTTCTATGCATACATAGGCCCCGCCCGTAAAACCTCCATTACCAAATTTCTCGTAAAACAAGCACCTTTTGCTGGTCGTGTGTGTTTGGGGTCGTTGCCGATCGGTGTACTAACATCCTAATACAGTCTCCTGTTTTCGCAGTGTCTGGGTTAGTCGGCAGCACTCAGCCCTATTTCAGTAGGCAGGTGTGAAGCACCACAGTCGTACTTACCTGTACAGTAGGTGGCATATCTCATGAAACACTGTTGCTTTTTAATTTCCTCAGAAAGTAACAGCGAACTTGGAGTAGATCAGGTTATTATAGGTCTGTAATCTCAGACCGAGAATTTTTTACATGAGTATTTGGGCCGAAGTCTATCAGCCACAGGGGGTAACCGCGTAATATTCATTAACTGCCGACAGGCAGCTAGTAGTATACTTTAGGGTAAAAGGATACCCTTAACAGCACAGGTACTAACCAAAAGCCCATACACGCGTGTTGCGCCGATATTCTGCCGCTGCATGACACAACTGCGAGGAGTTCGGCTCATCGGTGGGTCATGAAACACTAACCGAAATTCAACGCAGTAATTTCGACCGGGAAGGATTTTTGGGGTGGGATTGTTCCATTGAGTATCATTCACTAAAGTCACAAGATATGTCTTACGCGTCCGGGGGTGCCGGCTTTTCAACGCTCGTCAGTCTGGCCGCTCGCAAAAGGAACGATCGCCCCCAACTGATTATTTAAACAAGATAACATTTCTTTGATTTCCTTGACGTTACAAATCATGGAAAGCAGGCCCTGAAGGGTAAGGAATCTTTCGTTTCAAAAAGTCCTTGATTTTCCGAGACCGTGAAATGTCTGTTCCCTTAGCATCACATCGATTTGTCCATTAATGCCCCCGTATGGTTCATATCTATTGCACAACTTTTTGGGCGTAGAGGCGCGTGGGATTTTTTTTTGGAAATGGAGTGTACAAAGCTTGTGGGTTGGAAATCCTAAGAGTAAGTGCAATGACAGGTCGGGTTCAAGAGTGTTTGAGAAGTAAAAAAGTGGAAAACACATTTCCTCTAGTAGAAAATCTGAAGACGTAAGCTGCCACGATAGGGGTACAAGGGAAAAAATGTTTTCGGGCAGGATTTCATAGAATACTTTTGGGTTTATAGGAGCATCGGAGATAAACAGAAAGTGCATACTGCTAAAGCAGTCATTTATGCAGATATAGGCAGTTGAAGGGCTGAGGTAAGGATGCTTGATGACCCTATTCATGGGCGGTTAATTAAGAATGTTTACAGTTAATATAAAATGGCACATGTTAGGAATGTGATTAAAGCAAATGAGTATGATGAACATACTGTTAAACATATCATTCCGGAGGTCGATAAGCAAGCGCAGACATCTGCCCGTCGAAGTTAAGTAGCATCCATAGAAAAATAAAATTGAAGGCAAGCGATGGGTTTATTTGTGTCTTGCTAATGGCCTTACTGACAGGCATTTCAGTATAAAACAAGTTTCCAAATTAAATAAAAAAATCCTGCGTAAACTCTGGCTATTTTCTCCAACTCTAGAGGCGTCCTGCGTTTCTTCCAGTATAGCGGTGCGGCGCACCAATACATTTGCAAACCGTGCCGAATGGGAAAGTCAACATTTCCAGACTGTCTGGGATGATAAGCGCTTTACGGTTGCGCGAATTTGATGATTTACAAGAACTACCGTAGGTGGGCTGTCTCACGAAATGTTAACGAAACAATGAAATGTGTTTTCGAGGAAAAGGGATTACTTACATTGAGTAACCGATCTCATTAAATGTTGGCCGAAATTCTAAAGTGTTTTTTTTGATTAAGAAGGATTACTTGGGTGGGGTTGTAATATTGATTATCCTCCGGCATGATCCTATAATATTTCGGACTCGCCAGGGTGTTGGCTTTTGAATGCACCTCTTTTCGACCTCCTGTAGAAACCGCACTCGGTAAAAATGACTGCTTAAATAGCACGCATTTTCGCACTCATTTTCGGAGGTCTTGCAAATTAAAATATATTTTCTAGAAAAAATGCGCAAAAATACGCTTTCTCTCACGCATTTAGTAGAGAATCACGTTGTCTTTGCATTTTGCACCCGAAGAAGGGGGTATATTTAGGTTTTGAAAAAGTTTTTCAATTCCCGAATAACTTTAAGCATGATCAGCCGTTGCATTAGCGTTTGACGATTTCAGTCTACAAGGTGCGTGCGTTCGGCGTAAGGGAAATCATACATTCCCCTATGTCTTTAAAAGGATACCATATAGAATTCATAAAATATTGTAATGAATGCGGATTATGCCTTACATTTCATGAAAATCATTAGCAAAAGGACAAGTACGGTGCTGTATAAATGGGCATTGCATGGTCTTGAAAAATCTCATGATTATAAACTTTTTAAAAATCTAAAGGTACTCTTTCCTTGAATATAGAATGTGAAGATGGCAGGATTCTACACCAAACGAGTAAAAGAAAGCATATTTCCGTGCATGTTTTCTATAAAATATACTCAAATTTATAAGACCTCTGAAAATCCTTGCAAAAAATGTACACTACTAAAGTAGTCCTTTTTACCGAGTGCAGTTTATAGAGGAGGCCGAAAAGAGGTGCATTCAAAAGCCGACGTCCTAGCGAGTCCGAAATATTAAAGGATCATGCCGCAGGATAATTGATATTACAACCCCACCTGAGTTGCCCTTCCTAATCGAGAACGCATTTCAGAATTTCAGCCAACATTTCATGAGATCGGTCACTCAATGCAATTAGGCTTGTAATATTTATTGTCCTGTAGAACGGGTTTATTTCGGTTTTGAAGAACTTTCAAATTATGCGATTTTTTAAGACCGTAGAAGGTCAATTCATACAGTATCGTATCGGTCCATCTACTAATGCTACTTATGAAGCATACAAGAGGGTTCACATGCAATGAAAAATTTGGTGTGCTCTATGTGACGTCTCCTTAACTGCGCATGGAAGGCATATAGCAGGTAGATCTGAAACCCTAGGCGTCATTGTAGTTGAGGGTTGTGTTCAAACTATTCGACAACTGAAGAGGCCCTTTCAGATTGCAAGGCAACCTTCCCTCGAGTATAAAACTCGAAGAAGACGTAGTTCTTTGCCAAATGAGTGTAATAAAAAGTATTTTTGTGGATGTTTTCTATAAAATGTCTTTGAACTAATAAGGACATATAAAATCAATGAGTACAATTAAATCTACTTAAGTGATTTTTGCGTGCAGCCGAAAGAAGCTGTCTCTGAAGCCGGCATTCTGGAATGACCGCAGTTTTGTGGGGTTTTGATGCACGATAATAAATATTATGGCTCCACTTGAGTAATCCTTTATATCAGAAAACACATTTCAGAATTCCGGTCAGTATTTCATGGAATAACTCACCTGCTCTACATGATGTGCCAAGCCCTTCTGCATCCTTACGATCAATATTCAGCCGGATGAACAAAAAGTGACATGTTGCGAACACGTTATCATCAGAAGGCAGGACTAGGACAGTTCACAGACGGAACCTCGAAACAGATTGGGAGGGGGGAGGCGTGAAGGCGGGGGAGTTTGTCGTCTTGATGTCACATACAACGGGAACGGTTTCTTCACCGTTTAAGTTCACATAAGTCAGTGATAATCCCTTTTGAGAGGACGACAACGAACATTCCTCTGAGCCATGTTGAATAGCATAGTGTCCCATTTGTAGACACTTTCTGTTCAAAGGACTTAGTAAGTAGCGCTTGCGGTGGGAAAGTAGCATGAGTAGTTCGTCTTTCAGCAGCGCACAGCACCCAGAGTATAGGGGCAAAATCGGTCGCGTTGGGGGTCTGGATGATGCTGTAAGCGGAATTACGATGAAGATGGGCTTCTCAGCTGGAGAGTGTAAAGGCAGGTACTCAAGCGGTGGATAAACTTTTTCAACAACGAAATTAGAAGCTTAAAATGCCACGGTCGAAAAACTACCCACGATATCTTGCTCTTGAAATTACTAAGTATACGATCACTCACGAAGTTCGCACAAGGCTGCGAAGGTTAAACAGGATATTTTGGTCTGTAAAATTCTGATATCAGCATGTGATCTAGACTTTTAGTGTGTGTGTGTGTGTGTGGGGGGGGGTCCATCAACTCTTCGGACGTCGGATATAATTGAAGGAAACTTTGAAGCAACAAACCGCGGGTAG